CATTCAGCATATAATAGGGATAAAATACATTCTCAAAAGAGTTTTAAAACTTGCTGACAAAAAAGACATTCGATAATTCATTTCCATTTCTTAATTACAGGCAATTTATACAGCTTATAGAAATAAATTGCTCAATGAAAATCAACGACTGAAAAAAGCGCTTAAGCCACTCATCTTTTATTTTCTACCGATTACACTTATCGATCTTTGCATAATCGGTAAGTTACTTCAACATTAACTTTTGCAATACTGAAAATTTTAATCAAATTCAGTACTTCATTATCAAAAGAAAATATTTTTTAAATAGGTAAATGAAATTCCAGTCACAAGTCGGAGATTAAACTAGCAAATTCTTCATTCGCTAGAGTAATTTAATTGTAATAATATATTATGATAAATTATTTAGATAAATGAAAACTTTGTCAATTTATTATAAATAAAGTTTTACTGCAAATTTTTCAAAGTATATAAATTCAAACAAATTTATTGCACTTTTTTTATAAATTACTGATTTTAGCAGTATTTTTTATGCTTATTTCTTCGACTCTTTCTAATAAATCAGTTGAGAATTTCTTCGATCGCTTGGAGAATAATAAGAATTCGTTTTAAATCCAATTTTACTAATAAATAGTGGAAAAAATTTTGGGAGCTATGAAAATAAAACGAACAGTTGCCGCCAAGCTTAGTAATAGATTATATTACAGCTTATGCTATTGGATTAACCATTAATAGAGATTCTTTGGATGTTTTAATAGATATAATTAATACTCTTTTAAAGGTATGACTTAATCATTCTTTTGCTTCATTCCGTCCGTTGTTTTCATTTTAAAATTACTTTATAAAAATTTAAAATTTTTAATTTTAATGAAAAATTACAGTTTCGTGCAACAATAGTAACATTATGTACGGTTTTCGTTTTGCCGTCATTCCGTAAAGCGATGTTTAATTTATTGGGTAATAGACGTCAACAACGGATTGCCGTAGTATTACCATTCACTGAAACTCATTCCAATGCTGGACGAAATAACATTTAATTGCATGATCTGTGACATATCCAATTATTCATATTAAAAAATTTAATTACTTACTTGTTTTATTGAGATGTAAATAAACTCAAACGTACTTGTTGCAGCAAATTTCTTTAGCTATCGATTTGTTTTTGCTACAAATTTCCGTTGCTTGTCAATTATCGATTACCACTGTCACCAGTAACTAATTCTAGCTATTTTCTTGAATTCAATTTTCATTCCAATATTCTGCAAATATACTTTCTCCCAAAAATAAATCTCATAACTTATTCAAACTAATAGAATAACATTTGAAAGAAGAAATAGTTAAAAATAGAATACAAAACATTTGTTAAAATTATAAATGCCATAAATAATGAATAGACAATAAGTTATAAAAATATTGGTAACTAATGAACGGAATTTGGAAGATTACAGAAATTTTCGCTTTCATTTTTGCCTCATTTTTTATTCTTCCAAAATATGAAGAATAGTTGTGCTAAATCTCTTTCCTAACTCGCTTAATAATTAGAATTTGACAATTTCAATTAGAATTATGATTTTGTCGAATGATTCATCCTGCTCTGTGCATTTTGCATTTTGCGTAACGAAACTATTGTTCAATGAGAGAATGAGCGATTTTTTGCAACTAAACATTAGAAATTAAAATCTCTTTGTTTTTTGGATTTTAATTCCACATATTAAAACCCAAACAACTATTGTAATATAACTTACGGTATCTTTTTTCCTTTTCTTGCTTTCGTATGTTTGTCCCTTTAAACTTGCAATTTCTCTGATATTTTATAAAAGGTGAATGTAATTAATTTGGTAATTAGTATGAATATTCAGAAAGAAAAGGTGCAAAAATCAAATGCTTTATCAAAAGGGAGCAATTTCTTGGATATATATTGCTTTTTCCTTTCAAAAAAATTCTAAAAATTATTTTTGCTTTTTTGGATCAAAATTTGTGCTCTCAATAATATGCGTATGTTATCCGCTTCCATCAAATTATGCTTACTAAATTGTTGAAAATGAAAAAATCAAGTTTCCTCTCAATGGTTAGCATCTATAAACAGCGGATATGACATCAGTTGGAGAGGTAAAGGATTCATTTTGCATTATAGCATAAATTGTTGCAGTTGTAAGCAGTTGAAGAATTATTGTATCATAGAAAATTTGATACTTTTCATGTAAATGAACAAATGGATGAGATAAATAAATAAATTAAAATTGATTGAATAAATGAATAAATCGATATAAATGGCAAAAGATGTCAAATTTCAAAATAAATTTTATTTTTAATCAAGAAGGTCTATAAAATTATGTTATTAGCGTAAACGAAAGAAATGATCAGTTCTTATTTTATTAGCTTCTCATGTGCGACAAAGATGTAACAATCAGCGGTATCCCTCCCATGAAAGATATTTCAACATTTCTTTGTGCTAAATATGCATTATAAAATACTACAGTAAATTTTTGATGTTTGATCCCAAAATTATTCTCATAGAGAAATTAAGCCATAATAGCAATTGAGAAGTCCCAAATAAATTGATTTACTCGACCGAATAGTGTTAAAAGTCCAATAAATTGTTCAACCGAATTTGTTATAATTACTTAATACCCTTTCGAACATTTTGATAATTTTGTCCTTTTTGAACCAACAAATTGCAACAAAATGCTTTTTAAGAGTTTATTAATTCTTAAATCATAAAATTTCTTATTTTGTTTTCGCATATTTCTTTTGTTTATTTTTTAATAAATTAATATTTATTGCCAACTTGTGTGCAAAAAGATGTGTTTGCTTTGCCATAATTATAATAATAAAATTGAAATTCAAAACTGTCTGAAATTAATTTCTGCAAATGAAATAATGCATAGGTTTATAATTTTGCCATTGTTTAATATGCGATTCACTTTTTTTCTTAACTAAAATTATTTATTCGTAAAATTTCACATTTCTCAAAATATATAATAAATCATCCCTTTATCATTTTTTTGTTTTCTTTTCATTTATTTATGGTATGCTTTTGCTTATTTATAATTTCGTTTCATTTCTTTATGCTTTTTCATTGATGGAAAAAATACCTAATAACTAACTAACTAACTAATTCATTCATATTCAATTGATGCCAGCGCCTGGGCCTTATAAAAGAAAGCGTTAGGCCTTTCATTGGTTATTGCTGAAAACCTTTTTGAATACGAAATATAAAAAATAAAAAATTAGTTAAACAAAAAAAGGAAAAGGCAAAACAAAAGAAAACAATTATTGTTTTTCGTTTTTTATTATTTGAAATTAAAATAAATTCTGTCACATTTCAAGGAATCATTCCTTGGAGAATTTGGCGAGTTGTATTTCATCTAAACGATAGCACTGAAATAAAAAGTAGCAACTTTATGAAAATCATAGTTCATTTATTTTTCTTCTTAAATTTTATCAAAGAGAAGAGAGTAAAATAGAAAGAAGCAAAGTTTTAGCTTAATTAAGCTTCTCTTATTTCAATAATTACGTTCATTATTAAACAAGTAGAAAGCAAAATTTTCTATATTTGGATATATCACATTAGATAAAAGAATAAAGTTTACATTACTAAATTTTGAATTGCGATTGATTTTAGTACGAAAGCAAAGTTTAAAATGAAAGTGAAATTTTATGTCAACGTTTTAATTAGTAAATATGAAATGTATAGAAGATAATTATGAGGTAAAAAAACAAGAAATCAATTAAAAATTCAAGAGAAAAAAGTTCAATTTTTTGAAATTAAAAATCTTTTTCTTTTTCGATGAGAAACATTAATAAAGCATTTTATTTTAAATTGATAAATATATTTGAATATTTCTTCTTTCCATTCTTATCATATTCTCTTTCTTTCTCTTTCCATTTCACTATCGAAGAATTCAAATTCTATTTCATCTTCCTCTCATTCTTTATGCTCTTATTTCATATTCAATGCATGCTAAATGCATGCAATACATGCAGCAAACAAAAATACGTTTGATTTATAAAAATTTTAAATTAAATCAAATTTATTTCACAATGCATATTTTCATACATAAAATCAATATGGCATAAAAAAGTTTTATCAAATTTTATTTTTTGATGAAATTATTGAAAGTTTAAATTTTTATTCAAAAATTTTAATATTATTTTGTAAAACATTTTATAATAATAATGCAATGAATTGCTATAAATTTTCTGCAAATAACAACATTTCCTACTTTATATGTATTAGTTGGAAATTTGCAAAAATTATTTAAATTCTAAAATATGATTTGAAATATCAATGAAAATTAAGAATGATTGATGTAATTGATTCAAAATAATACAGCATATTATTTTTTCTTTCCACCTCGTATGGTAATAAATTTATATTGACATCGTAAGTTAGTGGCAGATATTATTGCATCGATACTATTTGATAATCCCATCAATGACGTAGTGAATTATATCAAAATATACATTATATATATATATTTTCCTGAGTGCATATTGGTGAAAATTTATTCATTCACAATCAGAAGTTCGAAATTATACTCATTTAATTGCTTATAAAACTTCTTTCTACAAATGTTTGAAATTTAAAAAAGAATTTTCTTTCTTTAAGCGAAGAATTTGAAAGATGCAAAGATAAAACGATGTATTTTCACTTTTGATTCATTTGTTACATTTTTGCTCGTTAATATTTCTATTTAGTAAATCTGTCATCTTCAATTTTCCTCTTTTTCATCTCTACCAAAATATTTAAAGACAAGAGAAACAATTATAAGCAATCATTTATTAGTGTATTACTTGTCAGCTCATTTGCTGCAATTGTTTGATCAAATTTTTAATTAGTTAATTTAAGTAATTTGTTCCTTATTTTGAAACAAAATTTTTGATTGATTTTATTTTTATTTAATGAATTTTTTATGCGTTAATTAAAGTTACGAAAATTTTGTCTTCCTAATTTTCATTTTAAAACATAGAATTTATTGTTGTTGAAAATTTTTTTAATTTACATTTCTTCTTTCTCTTTTTTCGACGGCTTTTTTATGTCTTTATCAGAGTTTTGTATTAAAAAAAGAATAATTTGATCAAATAATCATAATAATGTTATTTTAAAATCACTATAATACAACTTATAAATGTAATCAAACAGATTTTGTGAATGATTTTGGAGAAGTAAGACAAAGAAAGAAATTTGAAGCCTGATATTGAGAGTTAAAAATTAATCATTAATGCGAAAAAGCATTTCGATTTGTCTTTTTGTTATTTTTACAATATTGTTGCTAGGAGGGATTCTTTTTGTTGAAGAATTCTAAAAGCTATTGCTAAATGATATAATATGGTTTTGGGATATCGATTTTAACATGGTTTTTCAAATGGTAAGTTAAATTTTATTTTAGATGGAATGAAAAATCAAATGTTTGATAAAAAAATTATTTCGCGTCTGTTATCTGATAAACATACATGGAAATTTTTTGTGTAAAATTTTATTATTAATTTATTTTATATTATATATCTGCCAAATTATAGATTAAATTACAGAATTTGTATTAAAATTTGAAGAGAGCAATATTATCTAAAGTTTTAGCAAATATTTATTAAAAAATAGTAAAATTTTGATAATTTTCTTAAATATTTCCTCGCATTAAAATTTGCAAAAAAATACAACAAAAAAATTTATAACTCATTACTTTCTTTCGTTCAACTAATTTTTGATTAGAGAAATTAATGAATTACATATTCTTAATGAATTATATATTTTTTAATTAGAATAATTAATGAATTATTTTTTTATTTAATTTATTAATATTTATTAAAAATTTTTAACTGTTTCCGAAGTTTTTTTCTTCATTCGATTGTGCAATGATATTTTATTCATTCGATTGTGCAATGATATTGGAAATGCTGAAGCGTTCACGTTTACGTTTTTGGTGTATATGTTTATATCAGAAATGAAAATAATAATTGAAAAATAAATGATAAATAAATGAGGTGAAGGAAAGAGAAAGAAAAAGAGATAAATTGCTGTGGAAGGATGAAGAAGGGATAAGATAAATAGGATTAGATTTTGCTATTATAATGAAATTTCAGATAGTTTTGGGATAAAATTCTTTTCTCATTTTCTTTTTAAACAATTCATTCTCTGATCAATGCTATTTATAATATATAAATAAGAATATAATCATTCCTTAGTTATTAAATTTCAGTAAAACTTGGTAATTTGAAATTAATTAAAATTTTATGATACTTTTAAGTAATCAATTTCATTTCTTCTTCCATTTACTTTGCTGGTTTTTTTAATTAAATTTAATAGCGATATTCTTATTTGTTGGAAGAATTTTTCAGCAATAGTTTTATCCTCTGTAGGCAAAAATTAAGTGTTAGATAAAATCAAAAACGCAGTATCACTCATTTTTCATTTATATTAATTCACTTTGCAGGAAACTTTATTTATTTTGTTAATAAATTAATTAACATCGATTCGTTTATATTATGCAAATTCGTCTGTGAGTGATTTCATGAAGTTTTCAATTTAAATTTTAACTTTTTTAAAATTAATTTTTAGTCATTGGATCGATTCTCAAAGCAAAAAGAAGAAGAAAATTGAAAGGAAAGAAGACGAAACAATTGTTACTCAAAATTTAAAGTTAATTCAAATATTTTTTTTATTGAAAATAGCAATGCTCGATGAATATAATTCCTGAATTTTTGCGTCGAATTTTGTCAAATCGATTGAATCATAATCGGCATGATTTCTCATTTGAACTTCTTCGTAGCGCTTCAATTCAAGACCTGAAGAAATGCGATAATCGTAGGCAACGGTTAATCTGGCCAAGGCAAATTAGTAGCCAAGAACAGTTCCATATCAATGCAACAAAACTGGTAAATTTTTGTTCGTTTTCCAAACTTTTTTTCAAATTTACAAACTGACATATGCATGTCAGGCATACGGAAATTTCATTCTTAATTAATCATTAATTGCACAAAAAGTGTATAGGTAATTTATAAAGTTTGTTATGAATAAAACTTTTTCTTCTAATATACAATTTAAATCATATTTATTCAAATATATAATAAAATTAAAAACTTATTTATTTATAAAGTAATAAAAATTTGCACACCTTAAAAAAAGTTTTCTATTAGTCAATGATTATTAGATTAATTTAAGTAATCGATTACTTTTTAATCATTTTCTTTTCTAATGAAAATAATGACTTTCGTATGATATGAGGAAGAAAGCATTAAACCATTTTGTTTCATTCTTCATTTTATCTTAACATTTACTCTCTCATTTATTCATATTCATAGAACTAATGCTATTATTTGTTATCACTATTGTTGTTGTTGTTGTTCATTGTGAATGATAATTTTTTACATAACTATGATGTAATATTCAATCATTTAAATTTATTCGAGAAAAAAATTTCAGAAATTTATCTTTTTTCTTTATAATGCAACTTTTTTTATTCTTTGATTTTTGCATTTCTAAAATGTCTTCTAATTATACATTACTTGAAAGTGATATATTTTAGGTTTCCCTTCTTTTATTTCAAAAAAAAAATGTCAAAATAATTCTAAAGGTAAAAACAATATCGAATAATGCAATTCGGAATGGATTTAAAGGAGAGTTTCCGGATTAAGTTTTTCAGAAAAAGCAAGTTCAGAACTAAAGGGCACTACAATTAGTCTTTTCCCTTTTTATCACTTCAGCAGATTGCTGTTGCCGTATGCTGACTTGTTGTTGTTCATTCACTTTCTACTTACTACCTTTTTATTGCACTAGTAACTATTCAATAGTAAGCTATTCTATTCCGACATCTGTATTTATATCAGAAATATGTGCATATATGATATATTTATAAATTTTTTTAATAAGAATATGTATATATTTACATATATTTTAAATATATTAGAAATATATATTTGTATATATAAATATTTCAAAATAAGCAATATAAGTAATTTTTGATATAAATATTTGCCATCACATTTTCTAAATATTCTTAATTGCAATGCAATTTTGAATCGATAAAAGCAAAATGGAAATGACGATTGATATAATTAGAATTCAAAAAATAAAATATATATGAAAAAGAAGAGAATGAGAGAATAAAAGAAATGAGAAGAAAAAAGTTTGATATATTCAGAAAAAGAAAAGAAGAAAATATATTAAAAGAAAGCGGAAGAAAAGTTGGTAATTTGTTTTATTTGAATATTTTGCAAGCGAATGAAAGAAATATTTTTATGGTTTATCGTAAAAATAAGATTAAATTAATTTCTTTTTTTTTTAAATTTATTGTTTACATATTAAATTAATTATATTCTAATACTCTTTGATGCAATGAAAAGGCGTTTATTTGCTAGCAAAATATTTCGTTGATTGTAAAATGTTATAATATAAATGAGCTACGGCTAATATTATTTTAGCAGAATTAGCTATTTTGCTTATTTTGTTTTTAATGCTAACCAAATTAACTTCGTTAAATTATCTTGCGAAAATTCAAAATCAATCCCATCTCATATTTTTCTGTTTTACAAAACTTTTAATCCTTTTTAACTTTTTTCGTTGTTAATTTCTTTGCAATATTCCCAATACACCTTGAAAAGTTAATAACATTTGCCATTATCATAGTTTGGCTAACTTCACAATAAAATTAAGCTTGTTAATGAAAACTAGCAATTCTTCTTCGCACTCCGTTTCCTCTCTTCCTTTATTATCTCAAATAAGTCTCAGATAATTCTACTAATAAACAATGGCAAAATTCCTTTATTAAAAAGAAATTAAATAAGAAATTAAATTTAATTGTGTTCGATTAGAAATGAATCAAATGAAATGATTAATTATTATAATTTATTAATGATTTCAAATTTCTTGAAAAGTCATCGATCATATGTGAAATTTCTCGTTGTTTTTCTCATTTCTCTCTCTTTTTTAAAGTTGTTTACCATTTTTTTCGTTTCTTTCTATTTTTTTAAAAATTCTTTTGAAGCAAATTGAACAAAAAGCTTTCAACGATGAACGAAAAGAAGATATCACTTCAAGTTAGTTTCTACTTTCTACCTTTCCTTTTTCATTTTATTGCTAATTATTATTAGCATTGATTTAAATTGAAATTTGAAACTTTAATTTATTTTGGTCGTAGTAAGTGTCATATAACTACTTTTAAATGTATTACACAGGAAACAAATTTAAAATGTTAAAAAAAATAAAGTTTTATTCAAATGAATAAAAAAGAACGAATTTGTTACCTTCGTACTCATAAATAATTAGCAAGAGAAAACGATAGTGTAAATTAAATAGAATCGATTAGATTTAAGAGCAAACAAAAAATTGTTAATTTCTTCAAATTTTATATAATCTAATAATTAGTAAAAAAGAAATTGAAAATTGAATGAATAATATGTGAGCGTCGATTTCATTTAATTAACATTAAATATTTGATGTGATATTGATCGAATTCGCGAATTAAATAATAAGAATTAGAATAGTTGAGTGAGCATTTTATATATAATTCTACATTTTAGACAATAAGCTAATATAGGAATTAGGAAGGAATATTAAATAAGACAATACACTAATAAACTAATATATTAAGGAATATAGATTTGATGAATCATTAAAAAACACTTTCAAATGAAATTATCAAGTAGGCCAAAGGTTATCATCATTGATTTATATAAAAAATTATAATCCTCTCATTGTTATTGAATAATTATAATGATTTTTTAAAAAAAAGTTAACATTTGCATATTTTGGAAATATTCGATAAAAAGAAAAAGGAATGGATTTCTAGCATTTATTGTTTTTAGAAATTTCAATGCATTTTCCCGTTGAATTTCATCATATCATTCAAATATATTTATTTTAATTTATTTGTTATTATATTTCAATTATTATTTTAAATATAAGAAAATTTCAGTATTAAATTAAATCAACAATTTATCTCAATTTGCTAAAAAATAAGATGAAATTGCCATTCGTCTGTTTGGTTGCTGTGGTAACAATAATACCCATTATTTCACAATTTCCTTTTTTTCTTTAATTATTTCATTTAACATTTGCCCGGCTATTTAACAAATATCTTTGCAAAGGCATATTCTTAACATAAATAATTTCAGATATTTGAAAATATCCTTCAAGTAGTTATATAATAGACGACTTTTTCTCATTTCTACATTTCTTCATCAATTTTATTTCTTTTCTTTTTAAAATCAGTCATTCATTATTATTTCATAATTGTTTGCAATTATGGACATTTCATCAAAACTCTTTCATTTTCACTTTATAATTTCATTTTGAACATTATAGAAAACGCATTGACTCTTTCAATTGGCAACTTTCTGAAATAGTTTTACGGTTTTCTTGTTTTTTTTCCCATGTCTTTTTTAATTTTGAAATATTAGCATAAATGAATTTTTCAGTGTTAAAACATATTAGGTAAGTGATAGTAGTAGTAGTGGTAATATATTTAAAAATAGAAGTAGAGGTAATGCATAATACAGAAATAAAGCTTTCCAAAGATGTTCTTTATTATATTATTTTGATTTTTGATAATTCAGTTCCAAATATTCATATCTCATTCTTGCATGCGGAAAATTTTTGAAAATAATTTGTTTCTCCGAGGAATAAGTGACCATTATCGAAACTTACTGGATAAATAGGTTAAAATTTCCGCCATAAAATTTTCCGTTACGTTACATTTTCAAGGATAATTATTTGTTGCGGAAATTTGTGGTATTATTGAAATGAAGTTTCCTGCTTTATCATTTAATTTATATAATGCGATAAAATCTACCTTTATTTATTAATTTATAAATGACATACGAAATAAACATTTAAGTAAAGAAAATGTAAAAGTTAGTAATGTTATTTGCGTATGAGTGATTAATGCATTTCTGGTTCCTACCGCAGATGATTTAATCTAATTGAATTCAAATTATTTATTTACAATAATAAATCTGGCATTCAAAATTTTAAATTTATAATTTTTTAAATTAAACAAAAAATGTGCATGATATAGGAAGGTGATGAAATGATCGAAATACTCGGAGAAAATGGTGAACGAATAAGAAATGATGAAACGGCCCTTTTTGGATTTACTGAATATACCTCGGATGAGTGTAACAGGTTATTATTACCTAATTACAATTTATTAATGTTCAAAAAGTTTATAATTTTTAAAACTTCTATAAAATTAAATAAACTAATTGATATTTTTCTGAAACTGTGATTTAATTTAGATGTTACAAAGACATTACTTAAATTATTTATTTTAGATCATATAAATCATACAATAGCCTTTTTTATTAATGATATTATTGAAAATAGCGATAACTTATTTGTTTAAAGAAATTTAAACGAAAAAATGATAAGCAAGTTATTTTTCCATCCATTTCAACATTATTAGGAAAAGAATAATATCGTGAAAAAAGAGGAAATGGAAGGAAGGAAATGCAATTTCAACGAATACATAAAATATCAATGAAATGAACCAACCAATCGACCGTTAAATAGCATTTCAGATTTTTCTTGCCAATTTTCAAATGTGAAAACTGAAAAAAATTTCTCCATTATTTAACGGTCGATTGGCTCATTTCATTGATATTTGATATATAATTTAGGTTTGAAGAAAATGCAATGAAATTGATTTGTGAACAAAATTATTTTATTTCCTATTCTTTTTTTACTTCAATATAAGATTTATATTGATTTAAAAATAGAATAAAGATATATAGAAATATGTGAGATTAAAAATACGAAGCAAAATGTTTCTTTAATTATAAAATTTTTAAAATTCAACTAATACTCTTTAAGAATATTCTTTTTTCATGGCATATTTCGGTTTAATAATAAACAAATGACTCATTTCATAAATTATAAAAAGTTTAAAAGCTTTAACAATCATTAAAAGTTTATTTGGGAAAGCTTAAAGCTTTAATGACTCATTCCGGGGAATTAATAGAAGTTTAATAAAATCTCAAATTTTTTACATTTCAATTATATAAGAAAGTGAACTATTCATCGAATATTTCAGAACTTTCAAAATCCTTGATTCGATGAAAATTAATGGCTGTTTTATTTTTAAAAATATTTCCATTAATAAGTAGCATTTTCATTTTTCTTATTTAAAGTGAAAAGTTATTATAAAGAGCAAAAGATCGAATTACATTAATTATTTTTATTTCTTAATCATACATAAGTCATTAGGAAATATTAAATTAACAATTTAATGTAATATTTTCTTTTTTATCTTTTCCACCCAAAAAGAGAATAATTTGAAGAAATAAAAATAATTGAATTAATGATTTTTTTCCTTCAATTTCAATATATTTTTCATTCATTAATTCTACATTGCTGAAATGAAAAATAAGAGTTAAATGAAAGTTGAAATTTCTTCGTTTTCTAATAGCAAGATAATGTCAAATAAAACTGAAAGAATATCATAATTCAATATTTCTAAATATAACTTTACTTCAATCTGGACTTAACATAATGATTAAACTAAGGTTCAAACTATATTCCACTAATGAGTTCATTTAATTTTCAAAATATTTATTCATCAATTGTAGAATGAATCAATCGACTACAGAATCCTCGTTGAATCGAGCAATTGCAGAATGCAATATAATTCGTAGAAATTCACATTTTTCAGAAGGAATTTTACTAAAATGCGTAGATTCTAAACGTAAGTCGTTATGAAATATATGAAATACTTATTATATTCATTTACTATGTTATCACAAGAAGATATATTGTCTCACGTGATATGTGATAATTGGTAATAATCCATTTTAATTTAATTTAATCTACTTTTATCATTAAAAAATTTGTTTGCAGCATTGTATCCATACTTGCATTATGCATTATTCAAAAATCCCGATCATGATATACGGATATCGCAAATTGATCAAACAATACGTGAACTACATAGCGGACCAAAATTACAGTTTGGTATGATCATTTTCACTTCTTTAATTTTATTAAAATATTTTGCTTTACTTTGCCAAATTATAACTCAAAGCTAAGCCATAAATGGCTTATAAAATGATGAAATTAAATATTTTTGTTAAATTTGAATGGCAAAAAAGATTGTAAAATGCAATTTCCTTCATTTTATTCAATTTTTTATTATATTTATGAATAAGAATTTAATTTATTCTAAATGAATAAATTTTAGAAATTGAATTTAAATTATACTATAATAAATTATAAATTTAGGTGCATATGATGAAATTTATGCAATTCAAAAAATTTCATCAATTGCGGGTTATAAGTTACCATCACATCGACATGCCGGATATATTATTATACTCTTTAAACTTCTCGATGAACAAACTAGTGTATTTCAATTTTCGTTCTTCTCTTACTAATTTATGAATGAAACACAAAATTTCATTGCATAAAAGTAAAAACAATGGAAAAGGAGCTACAAGTTAATTATATTAGCACGGAATTTTTTCATTTAAATTTTATATGTAATAAATTATATTTGTTAATAATATTAATTTATAATTTGAATTATAAATTAACATCAATTATAACACCATATTTGTGCAAATATTTTCTATATTTAAATTAAAAAATTCACCTATTACAAATTATTCAAGTAATATGCTATTGTTACTAACATTAAATTTCAATAAGAGAAAAGTAAAATTATTTGTTGACAGTGTAAAATTTTCATTTCAAAAATTTTTTGCTCTAATTTGAGTAAAAAATAATTTGCTTATGCAAATGTGCAATGTCATTAATTATTAATAAATAATATTAAAGTTACTGTGATATGATTTTAATTTAATAAATGGTACTAAAAGCATTTAAACGGAATTTTCTGCAAGCACTGGATGAATTAAATTATTTGTGATATTGCTGCTATTCATCTATCATTGTCTATCTCGTAAATATATTATGATTCATTACATTGATAATGGTTATTCTTTTGTTTAATAAATTTTAATAAGTTGAGTATAAAAATTTTTAATTTTAATCATAAAAATTTTAGCACGAAAATCTCGAAAAGTCATGGTTAAATTGGTCAGGTGCAAGAGAAATTTACAAATATTCGCCAACAAATTGGAATTTGCGGCGAATTGTATTACATAAAATGCCAATAGCAAAGTATAAATTAATTAATTAACTTTTTTATTTGTTTGAATTAATTTTAATTTATTTCAAATAAACCTTTTAAAAAAAATTATAGCATAAATTTTTTAATATTTCTCTTCTGTTTTTCAGAGTAATTTGTATAACAGAATTAAATTTTTATGAAAAAAGTTATATGGCACTAAAATTGTTAGAGTTATCTGATGTGATTAGCAAAATTCTTAGCATTTATTTTAGGAGAAAAACCTTTCAACCATTTGCATACGTTTTATTTTGTGAATTTCGAAGCATATTAAATCCATCAAATCGTTTGCGAGCATTAGATATGGTAGAACGTTTAAGAGTACGAAATTGTGGGCATATATCACTTTATCAGGTAATTTTTTTTAATTCAATCATGATTAAATATTAAAATTAATATTCTATCGCATATAGATCAACATATTTATCATTTTCATGAAATTATTAAAATGACATCATCTGATATAATAAACAATATTTGCAATACTTTGAAATTTAACTGCGTGTGTTTAATAAATATTTTGATTAAATCATCGATTTCTATTCTAAAAAATCATTCGAATGAGTTAGTTTTTTGTTTTAATAGTGCCTTGCATTAACAGATTTTCCGATTGAGTGATAAACAAAAAATATAAGTCGACTAATTAATAAACGAACAATATGAAATATTTCTAAAATAAATAAATGCTAGTGTTTTGATTAACTGAGTGATTACTCAGTTAATTAATTCATCAATTAAGTGAAAATATTTCAGGTACAGTGGTCATATGAGCAGATGTCAAATTGTGGTGAAACATCATCAAATTCAGGAGAATTGTTCTCAGTTCCAAATGGAAGATGGGATCGGAATCTGATGCTACGCGGTTTTTCTCAAGATGTTCGTATTTTTGATTAATGAAATTTATTAAAATTAATAAAATTTGCTAAGAAATAAACAAATAATAATAAACAACGAATAGTTTATATGCAATTATCTAAAATATTTTTATATTATAATTTATTAGATTGATCATTTGTTCATCGTAATAATCTATTTTTTGCAATCATTTTTGAAAATTGATTCAGTTTCTTGAAAATAATTATATGAATTTCCACGTAACTTCGATTTCGTTATCAACAATAAATATACTGCACAAATGAATGAAGTAGAAAGTAAAAAGTGAGATATTAATTAATTTCAAATGATTTGGATGGATAAAATAATCATTATTGTTATTAATTTTTCTCATTGATTGCAATTTAATATTGACATTCGTAATTAATATTTAATGCTCAAAAAACACTTTGTTGATTTTGCTCACTTTTTTTACTTCATAATTTGGTTATTCATGTTTGAAATTCATTAACAAATAATATTATAAATTAATAACTTTTACATTTTCCATTTGTTTGTGTGTTACTTTCAAGAAATTTCAGGTTGAGCCAACAACTGATCCATCACTACTTACTAATAATCATAATAGTTCGACGGGATATCCAACGTTTCACAGCTATCATCATTTTAACGATTTTGGATAATTTCAAAAAAATCAAATGAATGATATAAATAATTATTTAATATATTTGTTTCATGCCTCGTTGCAACAATATAATTAAGGCTGTTAAGTAGAAAATAGAATAATTAAAGGTTTAAAAAAATGAAAGATGAAAATTGGAATATATTATGTAAAAGTGCAAATGTTGATGAAATAAAAAGTGATATTACAGCTAACAATTATTTATCCACTCATTTCATTTTTTAAAATAAACATTTCAAATTTATGCTTTATGTTACTTATAATTAATATGTTATTTTATACATATTAATTATTCAGTTCTTTTCTTCCTCACTTTGTAGTATATAATAAATGATGTATTATTAAAGAAATATATATTTTGAATTCTTTCCATACATATTCTATACTCATTTGAAAAAATTTTCTACCAAAATATAGAAAAAAAAGATAAACAAATTTGTAAACAAATGAAATTATAATTATAACAACAAACAGTAAAAGAAATAACAATAATTTATTATGCATTGTTAACATTGTTAAAAATGATAAAATACTTATATAAAATTTTTCATTCACTATCACACACGAAATATATTTGTAATCAGTTGTAAAACAAAAAACAATAAAAAGAAAGAAAACGGAATAAAATGTGATAAATTGATCGGTTGCATTTTCATAAAATAATAATCGAATAAATCAAATCAGAAATGATTTATCAATATATTTATGGAATAATTTTATGCTTGTTATTATATTATTGCTATTGATTGTTGTTATACAATTGGTACATTTATTCAATTCTTAAAGTGTAAAAACATTAAATGTAAAAACAAATAAAGTGTAAAGACAAATCAAAAATTAAGTGTAAAAACAGATAAACAAAATAAAAATAGAAATTGAAAGGTTAGTTTTATAAAATTAAATAATTTTATCATTAGAATAATTTATGTGAACAAACATGATTGGCAGATGATAATGATATTAATGATATGTTAATGGATTAATTTCATCCCAATCCATTCACAACGATATCAATTTATGTAATCTATTAATCATATCAATGTTATGACTTAAAGATATAAACAATAAAACTTAGTGATTTATTCATCGACATATAATGTCTATTTGGATATCATAAATATTCTTCCTTTTTAGATAATGTCAAAATGATAAAAGAAAAGGAAAAAAGCCAATAAAAACAAAGGTTGGTAACAACAAAAAAAAAAACGAATTAAAAGAATCTGAAAATATAATATTCTATTTCTGGTTGAGATAAAGAATGATTATTGTGGAAGTTTTAATGCATTTGAATATCTTAGTGAAATGTTAAAATCATTCAAAATGATTATTTTGTATATAAGAAATTAATTGCTTAATTACTGTTAATTGCAAAATCTTTACAAACTTTATTATCATTTATTTATACCTCGGCATATTTTAAAATGACTTCTTTTCAATTCAGTTGTAAAAATTCTATTTATTACTATAACTCATGTCAAAATAAGCTTTTTAGTTTTCACATATTACTTTCACATTATTAAAAATTATTTGCAATTTGCGTAATATAAATGTGAACTTCGTTAGAATTAAAATTTTGTAGAACATATACTATACTATTTAATTATACCATACCATATAATATTTAACTATTTTAGTTAAAGCAAAAATAAAAAGGTGAAATGGTAACCATTGTAGCTGTCAAAATTTTTTTTACGTTTTCAAATATTCTAATAGTTTTTTCTTGTTAAATAAGTTTAAACAAATTTTTGCTTATAAACAATTGCCTTTTGATATGATTAAATGCATTAAACATTTATAAATTTGTTATTTTAATTTGTCAAAATCATTTCGTTTATTAGTGGAAATAATAGAATTAAAAGAAATCGTATCGGAAATTTTATTTAAATTATATATTATCTTACTCATAATATTTGTTACAAAATAAAACTGAAAATATCATCAAATAATTTAAATTTATTTAAATTTAGAGATTACAAATGAAACAATTTGTATTGTAAGAAATGAAATATAAAGCAGAATTATTACATTGTCATCAAATTCGAATAAACTTATCAAATATTACAACAATATTTTCTACTTATAATAATAATATTTATTGTTAGTGGAAAATATTTATGTAACATAATAAGTTCATATATTAAGTTCGCCTACTTTTAGTAAATAATAGCAGGGAGCAAAAAAATGTAGTTTTATTTACGTTGTTCCCAGTTGTGACCACAAAATCGAGCACTCACTCACTCAGACTTCACTACTATCATCGTTATTTTATGCTAAAGTAAACAACGCGATAACTTCAAGCATTAACGATTTCAAATAATGATAAGTCAGTTTTCTCGCTTTATTGTGCACCATGTGTATCACCTATTCTAAAATTCACTTAATTAATTGGCCAAATGAATTTGGCTCATATATTATGCACACTATCTCATATCGACTTTTTTCTACTAGTTGGGCAATTTTGTTATTATTTCTTTTTTTTGACAATAATATTTAGGGATTTTTATTTTCTTCTTTTATATTTAACTTTTGTTTATAAAATTAATCACCAAATAACAATCGAACATAAAATAACGATGATAGTAGTGAAGTCGGAATGCCTTCAAATTGTTTGCTTCCACCCTATGCTTGTTTATTTTTTCATTAGCAAATAAAATAATTTTAAAAATAAGAAATTTAAATTGTACTTCATGAGTTAAACTTAATTGAAAATTATAAATATATTAGAAATTGCTGCTGACATAAGAACGATTATCATATGATATTATATTGCATGATTAGAATATGATAATATCATGTGAAATAAAAAACTGAATATGCAAAATGGTGATAATTGCTTCGTTTATAAAGTTTGCTTTATAATGGTCTTTAATATGGACTATTTCCATCAATAATAATTTGATGATTTTGTATCATTTAATGCATATTATCAATATTATGGTCCATCTTGCCGTTATCACTTCATATCTCTCTCTTTATATCAATCCACTTTTTTCACTTATTACCTTATATTTTTATTCATACAATTCTTCAATTCTCAATTTATCATGTATCGCAAAAAAGCGTAATGACTCAATAATACTTTCCACAAATTTCTTTCCTCTTAGCACTGCGCCATAAAAATTCATCTACGGTTAAAATCACGTTGCAGTTAATCACTAATCAATAAAATATTGTAATAGCAATTAAACTAAACACTTCACAATCAATATTTCACATTTCGGATAAAATAAATTTATCAATTTTATCATACGTTAACAAAATCCATTCAATAAAATTATTGTAAAGGAAAAAAAATTAATTCTACCAAATTATTTCAGTACGTTTACGAAAAACAGTACATTATCAACTTATTAATGTATCATTTTTATTATTTTACTAAATACTTAATCATCATGTAATTTATGCAAGCTTTTCTATAATCGTTAAATGATATTTAATATATCATTGGAAAAATATGAGCCAATACATAATAATGCTGATTGAAATAATAAACAAATTAGCTAATAGTTCTGATTAAAATAATAAATTAACAAGCAAAAAGCTAAACTTAGAAAAGTAAATACAATTATGCTTAAATTTAATTAAAATTAATATTGAAACCGTATGGAAATTTTTTCCGGACAATTACCAAGGTAACAAAGATAAGCTAAAAAGTTACCTACGATGATTTTGAATCTTTCTGTATGATTGTAAAATGCATTGTTTAAGAATTTTTTGAAACTCAAACGAATTTTACTCGAACAGTTTTATTGCGGAATTCAATTCACCTTCTTTCAAAATCTTATGAACCAAAGCAATTTTACTTGTTCGGAAGCTCTCCATCTAGATAATGCCATCTTTTAAATTAATTTCACAATTTAGATTCCTTCAAATGACAATTGCTTCCTACGACAATAAATTAATTAGCAAAAGCGCATTTCGCTGTTTGTTCAAATTTATTCCAAAATTTTTGGTTTATTAAAATTGTCTTAAAATTCTTTTTTTCAAGAAAGACTTTAAAAAATAGTAGATTATGTTGCTAAAATGGAAATTAACAATGAATTTTATAATAATTCTCAATATATTGCTATTAGATAATATTAATTAGTATTAATAATATATAATTAAATTAATGAAATCAATGGAGGTAATTATTTACTGTAATTGTGGCTGCAACTGTAATTTCAATTATAATTAATTTTGTAATTTGCAGCAATGTTGCTAAATTAGCCAAAAAATTTGCTTATTTATAATATTTCTTTATAACTTCTTATCAAAAAAATTAATTTCTTTTATTTTTCTTCCTTTTCTTTGCAGTTTTAACAATTATTCCACAAAGCTTTTTTTGCCGAATCAAAAACAAAAATTTTTTGAAATTTGAAAATTGTTGAAGTGAAGGAAAGATGAGAATAACATAGGTAGAATAATGAGTCGAAGAAGTAAGGTGTGAAAGGTAATAAGATGTAAAATGAAATTGGGAAGAAATATCAGAAGTGATTGATTGTTGGAAAGAATAGGTATTGTGTAATGTTAATGCATAAACGTTCGGAAGTAATCTTTTGCTTTGCTTATTCTAATTAATATTTTAACTAATATAATTAATTTATTTTGTTCTAATTTTTAGTCCAAAGTTACTGAGCTGAGGAGCAGAATAATCTGAGAGAAATGTGATGTGAAAAGAGATAAAGGAAAAATGAAAAGAAAAATTTGTGAAGGTAATCTTTATTCTTTATAACTTATAAATATTTTCTTTTTCATTTTTCAAAAAAATATTATCTGATGAAAGATTATTAGATGTTTCAACTGAATTGCAAGCAATTAAAAATTTTAAAATATTGAAATTTGAAAATTTTGTTTGATCATAGCGTATTCTAACCAAATGTCATTAAAATTGAAAAACCAATTTTTCTTCTTAATTATTTCACTTTTGTTGCACTTCGGTTATTGCAACTAAATTTCGAATAGTTTTTTTGAGTTTTTCAAGGACAAATTTTATAGGAAAAGAACAAAATGGAAAATTAGGAAATTTTTAAAGACAATAAATATGCTTTAGTTTAATCAATTAAATCAGCATTTGACATAAAATTGAGTTAATGAATTTTAGCAAATATAAGAAATATATAACAAATGGATTTTTCAAAACTTGATTATATAATTTTAAAGTATGAAAAGAAATGTTTTTTTCCAATGAAATATTTCAAGTGAAAAGCATATATTTTTTCCTTCAAATGATAGCGATAACATTTATTATGTAATTAAGTAAACATTAAGTTCGCATAGTTTAATAATTCAAATGAATAAAATGTTGTTGAATGATAATAAAATGTGTAAAACAAATCATAGATCTATTTTGTTATATAAATTAAATAATGAATTCAATTATATTGTGTATAGCTATGGTTCAAATTGCTGTCTAACACAAGTACAATAATCTATGTCATCTTTATCATTTCAACAATTTTATCACTCCCATTTCTTCGCCTATCTCTTTTGCAACAATATCCCTTTCCCTTCAAATCTATGAGCTCATTTGTTGAATTATTATCACTTTTCCAAATACCATCCCAAATTATATCATTTAAATACATGCACGATATGTCACTTTTATCAGTATCATTTCAACAAATTATCGCTCATTCTTTTGTCCTTCCGTTCTTTCTCTTTTGTAACATTCCTGGAATTTGTCATAAATCAGTTCATTCTTAAATTTTTATCGATTTTAAATTCCAGTGCCATTCTTCAATTGTTATATTTATGTTTCCGAAGTCAGCACAATTGACCTTTTCATTTCATAGATTCAATTTAATTTCCACCCACTTCTTTCTTTCATTTTTCTTTTTCTTTCATTCGAAAGATAAAATATTTTCCAATTTTCTAAATCATGCGGTTTTATTTCAATTTTTTGCTAAATTTTTTTTTTCTTAAATTGGATTAATGATATAATTAATTATCAGTTGAGAATGGTTAAAATGTCACGACTTATTACAATCGAACAATTTGATATAACAAAAACAAATGAATGATAAGTGATGAGAATATCGCTAACAAATAATAACGGAATTAGAATTGAATTATTTAATTTTGGTACGATATTGATGACTGCTTTGGGATCGGATCGTAATGATACGCCACAGCATACTTGTACTTGCATTTCGAATTCTTAAATGTTTCCTACCTTTCTTCTTTAACTTTTGAATTTCCGCCTTGTTTAATTTCTAACGGTACTGAAAGCTATTCCTATCATTTCAGTTTTTTAATTTTTAAATTTTTGTTGTATTTATTATTTATGTCCTATGTTAATATCATCCTATAAAATGATTATGGAATTTGTATAAGTTAATAAAATTTTTCGATGAATAAAATTTTTTTTCGATGATTTTATGAATTATTTTTTATAAAAATTTTCGTTCTCTCTTAAATCGACCCATTTCAAACCAATTAAAAATTTATTAATGCATTGGTCACAATATTGAATGAGTTAAAATATAAAAGAAAAATCATTTAAATCTGTCTTACAATCTTTCCAATATCGCGTATTGTTGCTTTATTAATATTATTAATTTTGCTTAACCCAAAAAATATGCATTTTTACAAAAACGAATCAAAAAATTTTCATTTCTTAGAAATTTAAAAATTGACAAAATTTTGTTTAATCTTTTTTGTCAAAAAAGGACTTCTAAATTTGATAACTTAATTTTACAAAAGCCAATGTGAATTCGTGGAAATATATTGTAGCGTAAAACTTTATGACTCATAAAAAGATTTAATTGTTGTGAAAATAATAGTCTTAATTTCTGCACTTATTAACTAATATTGATAATATCTATAGTGATGTGATTAAAGTATTTCTAACAACCATTAGAATATTTAATTTCTTTATTCTTGTTTCATTTTCATTCTTTTACGAATAATTATGAGTATAAATTTGAATATAATATTTGAATGCAATTATGAATTTGAGTATATTTGCAGAATATGAATTGGATATTTATAGTATTGGTGCAATAATAATAGGAAATTTATAACGGATAGCAAAGAATATGAACTTAATTTAAATGCACATCGCATTCTATGAACGGTAATAAATGGGGAAGCTTATAAAAAGTTCGTATTAAATTTCGAAACTTTGTTATGCTTCTAAAATAATTAATATAAGAATTTCTTTTTCATCCATTTCAAAAAATTAACAAAGAAAAGGCGGCAATACTTACATTTGAATTAAATAAATGGAAAAAAGATATAATATAAAATGATGATAAGAAAAGTGTTGAGAATTATAATTGAAATTAAAAATTTGATTGAATTTTTTCCTCAAATTTAGTTTTTCTTTTTGTGGCAGCTCTTTTGTTGAAAAAATATATATTAGTAGTAGTGGTATTAGTGATTGAAAGAAATGAATTACAGAAATTATGGAAATATGAAATATTGGATGAAAGAAAATGGTGTGTGTTTTACATGCAATAGCCATGATGGTAAATGAGGATATCCAAGATATCCAGGATATTCAGACTTATGTTATGATGGTAAAGGATAAGGACAGGTTAATTTAACACAGTATATTGGTTGATACGGTAAGCATTATGTTTTCAATCATTTTATAATAATAGTTCATATCTGTTAATTAGACGACAGATATGAAAATTTTAATATCATCGAGTACGAAAATTAGAAACAGTAATTGTGTGATATTTATTTGTTTCTCTCATATTTCCACATAATTTCTCTTCTTTTTTTTCATATTTCACTTTATAATAAACAAATTAAACTAAAAAGATAGCAAATAATTAAAAGAACAAAAAAGAGTGAAATATTCAAAATTTAAATTTCAATATTTTCAAAGAATAAATTTAATGCTTAAATTAATAATAAATTGTAATAATTAATGAAAGAAAGTATATAAATGATATGGAAATTTATCAAAATATATTTATCTTCTAAATACCTTCCAATTATCACTTTGATCTTTTGAAGTTTTATTTATAATATTTTGCATGCAAAGCAAATTGCGATATAAAATGCAATTAGTTGTCCCTTGAAAATTATATTTATAATTCCAATAAATTATATCAATTCAGTCGTTTTAATTGAATTTATAAAGTGATTTAAAAAAGAATGATACTTAACAGATTAGTATAACATTTGTTGCATAAAATAGATTACAAATATAAGTATTGAATATAAGCAAAACATTTTTATTTTTTGTTTGAAATATTTGCGTGAAATTTAAGATTAATTTTTCCGAAACAAATTTACGAATTCATCTAAAAATTCTTTTGTTTAATTTAAATGAGAAGAAAACGAAAACAAAAAAAGGAAATTTGAAGGAAATATACTTTCCGGAATTATTTCGGAGAAATATTTTAAAAATAAACTTATTAGCTAATCATGTTAAAAGAATAGAATTAATTTTATTGTTATTAAAATTTTATGCATATTAACCAAATTAAGCTAAATGAACAACAACAAAAACGCATTTTATTATTATGAAAAGTTCGCTTTCTGGAATTAAATTTATTTTGGTAAGCTAAACGGAACTTTCTTTATGTGAGTATTGTTTAAAGTTGCTTCTTTTATGTCGAAATTCAATGACATAAACAATAACAAATATTACTGATAGAATCGTAAACATTACTGAAATAACAACGATGCAATATTACTAAGAGGTATTGATTATATTTTCTAGGTTTATCAAAAAATATCATTGGTTAACGAAGGATACTAAAATTTAAGGATATTAAAGTTTTGGATTAAATTTCTTTTCTTTTCTTCTTCCCTAAATATTTTTAATATTTAAATTCTTTCATTTATATATCCTTTGGAAGTAATTACGAATTAAATTATCTTTGAACTTTTCTCATTGTTAATTATTTTCAATTATCAATTTTAAAAACAAATTAAAATTTTTTATAAAAACTAACGAGAAATGATAATAGTCCATGTTGTTGTCATTGGATCATCAATTTCTGGCCTGAAATATTGATTAATTTACTTAGAATTAAAGCTCTGTCCAAATTTGTAAATTTAATATTAAGGTAACTAAATGGAAAAGTTCTGAAAAACGAATATGAAAATAATTTTTATGATACCTCATAAATTTGAGTATAATTTTGAAATATGTCTCGCTGCCATCTTCACCTAAGATTGCTTTGCCAACATATGGCCATCGGGTGTCTTCCTTGCGAGCACCTTAAAATTGAAATCGGATTTAATTTTAGTCTTGACTTCAGACATTGAAAAAATAAGGAAAATAAAAGTGAAAATGAAGGCTACTAATATTTCTATAAAGATTATTATGTTAATGTAGTAAAAGATGAAAGAGAAAATACCAATGATCAATAAGCCTTTTTTATTCGATGCAACAGCAACACGTTGTAATGAGCATGGTAACTGATAGTTATAATCTGGAATCTGATAAAATCCCGATTTCCAGGTTACCTGAAACAATTTAATCATACTACATTTCAATAATAAATTAGCAAATGCCATATCATTGCTATATATATTTTTTAATTTTCAATTTCTTTGTTTTTAGATTCAATCTTTACAGAATTTTGTTTAACATGTACAAATACAATAGAAAAAAAGGCTGTAATATTGCAATGTTGCAATATTGCAAAATAGATGGGATAATTGATAAAATATTAAAAGTTTGAAATTTAATAACTTCTTATTATGGGCTATTTTTAGAAACTTAACGCTGAAATTTTATTCGAATACGTTACCTTTTCGAATGCGTCAAATTAAAATGATATATAATATTTGGAATAATTACTAATTTAATCAAATAAATTAATTAATTATATGAGTACTTTAATAATTGTCCCAAAAATTGTTTCATTAATTATAATTAAATAATTATGTCCAAGTTTTAATGCTCCATAATTTTCAATATCGTTTATACTAATTTCTTCCGTAATTAATTCCTCACTGCATCCCATAAATACATTCTTTGATGGTTTGATAATTTTCAATGGACGCATTTTTCCACTAAAGATTCGCATCTATAAGTTATTCAGATTATGCTGATAAATTTAAACAAAAAATTCATAATTTATTTCCTTCAAAATTTAATTTTTTTTGATTAAAATTAACTGCTTATGATAATTTAAAAATAGATGTTTGATCTTTATGATATTATTGTTTTATTATGTTTTGTTATTTAGATTTTACTTGAAGTTCCTGTTAATTAATTTGTAGATAATATTGACTAAATTCAACACTTATCTTTTTTTGCTTACCTGTTGGGCATCTTGACGACACTTTTCGAGAACGTCACAATTTAATTTTTGTTCTGACTCGTCGCAACTTTCTGATTCAACAAACAATCCCAAGCGACCTTTTCCTTTTTGTATCGCATAATTTTTGCCTAACATCTGTTATTTAAACATAAAATAATAGTTTCTTGTTGTGAAAGATTTGCTTAATTAATTTAAAAATTAAAAATAGGGTGAAAGATGCGTTTAAAAAGACTATGGTTATAACGATAATAAAATTAAGGAATAATTTAGAAAACTTTGAATAAGAAAAACGATCATTTCAAATACTTCAAGGTTTTCAATTTTTTTAAATTGTATGACATCAGCTCATCGATTTATCAAAAACAAAAACCACCGAAACGCTCATTTTATAAAAATTTATGAAAAATTTTAAATCATTGATAAATTCTTTAAATCCAATTTACCTGTAAGAACTTAAATAAAACAATCATATTTTCGTGTATTTTATAATGAAAGATATTTCACCATTTATGTCATAACTATAGCGTTTCACGTGAATTCCGCCTATGACTTTTTAGCCAAGTACATTTATTATATTGCAAGGAGAAAAATGATACTTGTTCAAGTAGATGGTGTCGTAATTTCCTCCAATAAGCATCAGTGATCATTAAGGTAGAATGGATAGGAATACCGATTGTGAAGTATGGATCTGAGCTAAGATATTTGTCGAATGTCATTATCACTTCCTTCATATAGTTGTTATCTTTCGAAACATTTAATGATAATGTTATCTGTTATAATTTAATTGATTACAATATGTAATTGCTGTGGAATGATTTTGATTCCATTAAAGATTCAATTGGAGATTATTTTTCGATTCTTTTTAGAATTTATTTAGTTAATTCTTTCATTTATTATAATTTATTATTATTATTACTATCATTATTATCATTACTATTGTTATTATCACTTTTCGCTGTCAAAATTATTATCATTATTTATTAACATCATTTATATTATTATTAATCGCATTTTCATTCCCTGCGTAATAATTGTATAATCAAATTTTAAAATTAAGTACGGAATGAAATTCAATGATTACTCTTTTTAATGGATCAATTTTAAAAAATGACATATAAGCCAAACGAGAACGATAACTTTCCAACTTTCTGCTGCAAAAAAATTTTTTTCAAAATTAGAAAAGAAAAGGTAAATTATCAATTAATAGTCATAACATTCTTATAGAAATAATTAAATCTTCACTTTTATAACAGACAAATTCAGTGATTTCTCTTTTAATTTTCTCAATTTTAGTAGAGCCAGGATTTTATACTTTCATATATGACGAATAATATGAAGAATAATGAAAGGTCAGAGGTTATCAAAAGTAGCTAACAAAAGCTTTTTAATATCTAGAACAAGAATGATAAATTATAGTAATAGCTTTAAAACCGCAATTTACATCCGCTTCTTGACTCAATATTTCTTTTGGAAAAGATCGCAGTGAGATTACAAATTATAATACCATTCATCTTTGTCGAGAGCAAATTCTCGACGGCAAGCCTTCTTAGTGCAACAACATGCCGTACAACAAGACCATTGCTCATAACCGATATCAATTTTCAAGTTATATTCCGATTTCATAATAGCACGAAAATTCGCCGGTATTGGTTGATAATCACGAATACGATAACGATAATCCAATTTACCGTAATCATCTTTGCGACGCTAGCAATATTTGCAGTTTCATTTTTTTTAAAGCTTAAATCTTCTACAATATTTATCAATTTTTTACTTATTCTTTTTCACGCAAAAATTTAAATTTATTAATAGTTTATCTGAAACAGAGATTGGATTGCAAGTGATATAACAAGATTTCTGGAATTAATCAGTATGTGATATTTTGAGTTCAGATATCGGAAATGAACATGAAGGAGAATCTAATATATCATGACGATATCGGAATATTTCGTAAAACAACAGGAAAGAGAATCTAATTTAATAAATAGCCATCAAATTGTTCCTTTTTCCTTTTTGAATTTTTAGTTCATTAATGATTTGTCAAAAATTTTAACTTTTTAAGTAAAATTCCGTAGGAACCTCTTGAAAGGAATGATATTTTGTTGCACATTTCTGCTTTTGTTTTTCGGAAAAATGCAGACTAAATAAGCATTCCGGTTTTTCATCAATCGGATCTTCCACGAGCGTATCCACGTTTACTATGACATCCGTTTCGATTAGTGCACCATCTACTTGCTAAATTATTACAAATAATATAAAATTGAAAAAAAGTTACATTGAAACTTTAAAAAAAACAAAAAAATTTTAATTCGATTTTAATAATTTTGAAAAATGAATAAATGAAAATATTGTGCTTTGATGAAATTATATCATATGCAATGAATGGTAGCAAAATCAAAACCTGTGCGCAAACAATAGTCATACTATTAAAATGTGGATAATATTGTCGAAGTCGACCCGGATCCGGATTAATTCGTAAGCGACCATCCGGAATTGGTATTGCTACCTCTAAGTTATCCCTTTAAATCAGTTTAATCTTAGATTTTTAATTTACTATTTTGAATTTTTTCCTATACAATATGTACATTTCAGCAATTAATTTATCTGTAAAGTATTATTGATATTTTTTTACTTTAAAATAATATTTTCTCGGTTTACCCATTAACAACCATTCGATCCCACCAACGATCAGCAAGATATGGACCGCGGAATGCTGTCCGTTTATCTTCATCATTCGGATCCGTAAATTCTATAAATTATAAAAGATAAATTAGCATAATTAAATTCATATCACAAATTTTTCATTTTATAACGAATCCAAGTATGAGTTAAGTACATTAAAAAAAGGGAGAAAAAACAAATTCCTATTAAAATACAAATTAATATTAACTTTTAGTGGCGAAATTATATAAAAACGCAGCAAATGGAATTCGATGATATTGTCGTTTCATCAATATTTTTTCCATTTTAATTGTTTTAGTTGTCATTTTTTCCGTTGTCGCATTGGTTTCATTTGCAAATAATAGTGAAGTTGTTGTTGTTGGAGAAATTACTAAATGTTTTTCTTCGTCGTTATTATCATCCTCTTTTTGTATGTCAAATTCATATGCAGAAAACGCTTCGATACGTTGATTAAATGGGATTGGCACAAAAACATCCCTAAAAATTCATATGCTAAATGGTTCTGATACATTTTTAAAGCGGAATTTGTGTGAAAAAAAATCGGAAGTTTTACAGTTTAATGTTAAATATTAGCCATAAATGATTTTAAAATTATTTTTGTTAAATTAATTATATTTTAAATATCAATCATAATAAATTATTATTGTTATAAGTTCTTAATAATTAATTTATTCAAGCATTACGTAAAATCAAAAGTTATTTTCATTTAAAATTGTTAAAAATATTTTAAAATAATAATAAAATATATATATGAAAATTTCCATATAATTTCGTCACATGCAATATTATTTTTATAATCTCTTCTATTTAAATTTATTTTACATCGATATAATCAGCAAATAATTTGAACGAATTTAATAACTTTTGTGAAATATTTTTTAAATGTGAAAATTTGCTAAAAATTGAAATCTTCCAATTACAAGCATATGTGAATTCATTAAAACTATGAATGGTAAATTTAATACAATTTTGTTTTACAAATTTTTTTAATAACATAAAAACAAATTAAAAGCTTTTAAGGCAATTAAGAGTTTAAAAATAACTGTTTTCTGAATATCTGATCATACTTTAAAAACGTTTAAAAGGAATTGGTTAAATTTAAATCGGTTGAAATTTAAAAAACCTGCGTGGAAGGATATAAAAATTATTAACAATATTAGCTGATGGTAGCTTCTTCAAACAAGTAAAACATGGTATCTGAAAGCAAAAACTTTGATTTTAATTTTAATCTAAAACTTTTGATTTTGATTTGCAAATTTAGAAGTAAATTAAATTAAAAAAATATTTCATTAATTGGATACATGACACTTTTACTCTCCTACAAATATTTCATTTCAACAAAAGTCCCGATACTTCCTTGATGATAAAACTATTAATATATATCAAATTAACGATAATTATTACTTCCTTAAGTTTTGTGGAATTAATTAAGGAAGAAAAAAATTGAAAAAACTTACTTCAAAAGGCATATTTCTTTCATGCATCAATGAAACAATCCGTTGATTACCGAACACAAATGGTGCGTTTTCTTTTTGACAGCTTCAACCGAACAATTTAATTTAAAAGTACATTTAAAGCAAAATTTACTCGGCGAAATTACAACAATTAAATTAATTTGATTATTTAATGATATCACTTTCAAATTAAATCTCGACTATAGTAAGCGTAATAACATTCGACTAGAGTTTTGTGTAGGACAGAAATTTGATAGACAAAATTGCAATAATTAAATTAATTAATTGCACTAATTTTTTTGCTTCATTAATTTTATATTACATTTCGATTGCAATAAGCTTATCAGTTATCGAAAAAAAATTTTACTTGAAAGTTATTTCGGATGAAAAATAAAGCACAGTAATGAAATTGCAGTTATACTTCAAATATTAATTCTTTTATTAATCTTCGAAATTTTAAAATTTTGGCTAAAAAATTACAATAAATCACGCTAGAAATTCAATGATTTCAAAATTTTTATTAAATAAAATTATAATAAAATATGCTTATTCACTAACTCTTTGCCCAGATGGACAAGATTCCTAAAATACAATCGTTTATGAGTGATATATCCTGCACGTTGTTGCTCATCTGCTAACATTTCCTTATGAAGCTAAAAATTTTAATTTATATTAAAATTTTACTCTTAAATTTTTATATTGCAAATATTCAAAATTCATATTAATTTTTAAACTTTTTTCATTCCCTAATATAATTATCATTGAATCAATAAGTAGTTAAGTTATTAATAAGTCATTAACGTTTAATATTTTAGCGTCGCTAAACGTCACTTACGTCATTGTCGTCTTTCATGTCCTTCTCATCTACGGAAAGCAGAAATGAATGATTTTTTATAAAAATACTAACATTAATATAATTTGGCATTAGGGAAATTTTATCGTTTATAGGAATTGAGAAATTTTGAATTGCTTGATTAATTCGAAATAATCCGAGTGGTATTGATGTATCGTAATAATCTGGGAAACTACTGAAATAACAATGAAAATAGATAATTTATCGTGAAATGATAACTTCTATCAATGTAAGTTATATCTGATCAACCTAGAATTCAAACATTTAATCTATCAATAAATTTTAAATCAGATCAATCCACATGTGATCTATTAAAATCAATATTTTAAAATCAATATTTTAACAAATAGCAATTTCTTAACATTTCGATTAATGAGATTAAATTAGACTATCATATTTGATCAGTCAAATTTTCTGTATTTCATTTACATACAGTTCGGAGAAGTCAGCTGTTGCTGTAGGATCATTGGCTTTTTCATCAGCTGGAAAGGAGTCACTCAAATATTGGCGAACCATTGTTGTCATTAATATATCAGACTTGAACCATGGTAACAAATCTTCAATTTTTGATTGAAATTAAAATGTAATTTTTCAATTTTCAGTTAATATCTTACATGAAGTATATAATTTCAGATTAGCAATATGAAGTTTAATTTCAATTTTCATTTCATTCGATTAATACCTTTAAATTCGCGATAATAGCTTTGATATTGCTGTAAATTAGCCTCAAAGCTACATTTTAGCAAATAATCTTTTGCAGCTTTGAACCAAAGGAGTGCAAACAGCTCACTGAAGTGCAAGAAAAATTACACATTAAAATTGGAATTATTTCTGTAAATAATTTTTGAAAAGTATAACATCGCGAAATTAACCCAAAATTAATCGCAAATATAATTTCCAAAATTAAATCTTGTAATTTTTTTACATAAAAATTTGATTATAATTAAATAAATAATAAATATTAATTGTTATATTTCAATGGCAAGTACCACACTCAATTTTATTCCTTTTAAATTCTCTAAAAAGTTCATTGAGAAGTGCAGAAAACTTTGGAAGTTTGTGAAAAAATTTAATTGCACTGAAATTATATTAGGAACAATTAAATTTCATCAAATTATACCGATTAATTTGATAGGATATTAACAGAATAATAAGAATAACAGCCGAACGATTCATCGAATTAACACAATTCTGTTTATTTATTTTTAGATTCCATCGCTTTTGTTTTTCTTTTTTGCATTTGAAATATATTAATGCAAATATTTCTAATTTTCATTTCCTATTTTCTTCTTTTCACAATTTATTTTTCAATTCCAATTTATTTCTCAACAATTCATACTTTCGTTACTCAATATTATAAAAATTTATGTGTGAGAATCTGATTGTCATTGTTTCGACGATTTACTTTCCATCAAATTATAGAAACCATCCCCAATTTCATTCAATAATTTCATTCAATTTCAATCATGACAGTTTTAGACTTACATTGATACTTAATTTTGATTCTCAGATGCTAATTAGTTTCAGGTATATATCATTCAGAAGATGCTTTCAGCAGTAATAATGGATGATTTATTTCATCAATAATTCAGAAGCTAATGTCACAGCTTACGATGGATGGCATCAATGAAAATATTGATGTCAACCTATCAGTATTCAATTTTATATTAACGATTAATTTATGGTTGTCTAAAATTAGATCCTCTCTATTAATATTATTCTTTCATTCACCTTTTTCATATTTACCGCTGATTTTATATTTAATTTACTTCATATTTATTAGTAATTTATAATTGCACATCTAATTTCTTCATGACCCTTACTAATTAACATTTGCAATATATTATTTCTTTAATTACATAATTTCTTTACAGTTGGTATTAGCTTACATACTTGTGTATTTAACTGTTTCCTAATTTACTGATAATCTATTTTCGTAAGATTTATGCTTTTTTCTTCAATTTCATCCCTTTATTTAATTCGCTGGAATAATAACTTGAATTCAGCTGTTAATTTTACTGCTGCAAAAGAATTTAATCTTACCACTTCATCGTATCGCGCATTTTACTCATTTCCCTGATGCTTTCTTTAACCTTTTATTAATTATTGATAGAATTAAGTCAATTTGATAAAATTAACTTAATTGTATCAGTAATTAATTAAGGATCACATTATTATCTGTAATCTTGAATATTTTCAAGTTTAAAAGGGAAAATTTTTAGAATTTCACTTTTTATTCGCATGTAAAATGAATTTTGCAATAAAATTGATCGATCATTCTAAGTAATTAGAAATTTATATCTCATTGATAAATGATATCATTATGCAATTCTTTGTTAATTTTCCGATAAAAATAAGTTTAAAATTTTAAAAAGATATTTTATGATTTTCAGTGAAATTTAACGATAATAAAAAGGAAAGAGGAAAGAAGAGTTGAAGAGAGAGAGAGAGAGGGAGAAAAAAGTGAAAAAAAGAAAAATCAAACAAACAAATAATCAAAACAAGCAGGTTAATGATGGATATTGCGTTCATTATTGGAAACCATTTTCAAATTTTATTTCATCTTCTATTATTTCTTATTGCTAGCTGTCTATCTCAACAAAATGTTGTTGCCAAATTTCGTTTTGCATACCTTAGTGCTACAAACGGTAATTTTAATTAACAAATTTCAATTACTTTTTCACGAAAATTTTTTTTTGATTTTTTGATAAGAAATTTTAGCAAACTTTTTTGGCAAATAATTTTTTTCTTCTTTTATGATTTGCAATTTTAATGCTAATTTTAATAAATTAGGTTTGGTAAACAATTGTTTCATTTATGATTTTATATTATTCATTTTTTGTTAGATAGTAATTATTACATTTTCATTTTATTTTGCTGCTTTTTCTTACCTTTCGTTAATTTTTTATCTGTCTTTTTTCGCTAACGGTTATTATCAAAAATTAATAGAATTCGTTTTCCTAATAGTTAAGACTAAAACAATATATTAAAGTTAAATTCAAAGTTTAATTTCAAACTTAAATTTACATCATTTAAAAAAGTGCAACTCGTCAGCATAATCATTTTTGTTTGTCACATGAAATTTAGTGTCATATCTAATTTTTCTCCCCTTTTTTAGAACCAAAAGTACGTCAAATTGATGCCTCGGAGAATGAACTATTGGCGAATATTTGTGGCAAGGTATATCACAGTATGAAAGAATTACTTTAAATAAAGTTTTTTCTATTAAATTTATCTTTTTTTGATTTTCACATTATTTTTGGATTTTATAGCTATCATTAGATTATTCAAATAATTTCCACCTCTATAGTATCATATCTTGATCGTAATTCTATTTTTTAGTGATATCCGATAGGAGACTATCTAAATCCAGTTATTTAGCATACTTTTTTGTACTAATTAACGGGATTGATTAACTTTGGTAGTGCTAATGATAATAAAATTCTTTTTTATCAAACCAATCTTATCTATTTGAATTTCATTGTAATCAAATGATTTAATTACGATTTATCAGTAATTATATGAAAATATTGCTGCAAGAAATGAATAGTTATGATAAATTCAATGAATAATTTGCTGCTTTCCTTCTAATTTATAGCATTTCAGGCTTCATTACATGAATTACTCAATTATCCATGGGCTGTTTCTATAGCTTTAAATGTGAGTATTTCAAATATCATATAAAAAAACTCAATAGTAATTATAATCGCTCTATTAAATTACTATAAAGGAAATGTAAAAGAATGGCAACATTCATTATTTTAAGCACTTCCCACTATCTACGCTTTTCACCAACATCAAAATTCAGTTTGAAGTTTTATCATAATTCTCTTTCTTTCGCTGCTTTTTTATTTCATTTCATTTCGAAATTTCAATTACGAAATTTTATTTCATTCATTAATGAATAATATTAAAGAAATATTTTAATTGATAAAAAGAAAATGTTGCGAAGAAACAAATATCTAAGTAGCTAATTGAATGCCGCAATATTACACGTGCGATCGGTGTTTTTGCTGCAATTCTTATCAATTAGTAACAAATTTTAAGCATCCGATGAAAATTGGAAAAAAAGAAAACAAGGAAAATGCAAACATTTTTGAAGAATTTGAAATCAGGCTTCCTAAAATTCAGAACCTTTTAATTATTTTTTTGTTTTTCTCTAAAAGATATTTTATGAAGGGTACAAATAAGCTTGGCGGTGTAATCATATCACCATATCATATCCTTACTGCAGCACACCCATTTGTCAATTTCAGTGGATACAGTTTTATTCCATGCAAGTAAGTAATATCTTCTTCATTATGTAATATCTTCATTTGATTGCTAAATTACTTAATTAAAATTTAGTGCTAATTTAGTTCTAAAATAATATCTTGTACTATCTAATTTTTTTAAAACTGTATTATTTGAACTTTCATCGAAATGTGAGAATTCTTTATTGTCTTTGATCTCATAACTCTTTTGCTATTTTAGTCTTATTTTTTAGTTATTTCAATTTGCTAATTAAAATCTTTACAAATTTTAATTTTCAGCTACTTGAATTCTTTGATTCGCTTTTTTCAATTTGTAAATTATATCTTTTATCATTTCATCACTATCATTGTCCTTTTGCTATTTCAAATTATGATTATTTTTTTTTGCAGCAATGTTCGAAGTAATATGATATTTCAGTTAATTTGTTTTTACTTATTAAATTTGCTAATTGATTAACTGAGTGAATGAAATTTCAGAGCAAGTGCCTATCGTAATATTACCAAATTATTAAATCGCAAAATTTTATTTGGTGGCAAATGTATTCGTGGTTTTACAGCCACTAAAACAAATCATCCATTGTGCCAAGAAGCAGACGTATTGGAGAGTAGGGTATAAAATCTTTAATAAATAAATATTTAACAATTTCAGTAAAATAAAGTTTAATTTTGGCTCATCATTAATTTTTTTAATTATTTGTTAATTAATTAAATTTTATTATTTTACTATTAATACAGTAACAAATTATCTCACATAAACAATCAATAATATAACTTAAAAACTTTATTATATTCCTTTTTGGGTGCATAATTTGATTTTCAAAAATTAATATTTTTCGAATTTTCAGATACTTAACATTTAATCAATCATATCACTTTTAATTTTATCACCGAACTATGCATATTATGACTGATTTCTTCCTTTTCATTTAACAGATTCGTACAATAATTGTTGATAACGATTTTATCAGCAAAAATTGTACAAAAGGTCATGATTGGGCAATTATTGAAGTCGAACAACCATTTATATTTACCGATAGAGTAAGACCAATATGTTTGCCGTTGAAGAATGAAAAATTGCAAGATATTTTAATGATCTTTGGATGGGGACGAAAAAATGGTAAGTGTTATTTAATGATAAAAAAAATGAAGCAATGATGTTAATGTAATAGAATAGTTAATTAATTATTTGTAATAGAATAGTAATAAAAAAATAATGAATAGAATAGTTAATTAATTATTAATAAATTTAAAAAATTCAATTTCCAAATTATTCAATATTTGCTTGTATAAGAATAGAACTGATATTTCAATTTGTTGCAATGAAATATGCAAACTTTTGTTGCTATACAATAGTTATACTCCTTAAATTGCAATAATATAAATACATTTGATTAGAAAATGAGTTTAAAAGAAACTTTTTCTCCAGAAATAATTTGTAGTGAAAGAATTAAAAATAAGACTGAAATAGCTTTTAGCATTCGAAATAATTTATTGGTAAAAAATATGTAAAATAATTTCTTATTATTTTAGTATTCTCATCTGGTAGCCCGTTAATTCATGAAATTCCAATGAAACTTGACGTGAATTGTCAAGCATCTTGGAGTGATACAATGCCAACAAAAATTGATGATTACATATGCATGAAATCATTGGATCCAAAGCATTACGATACACCACGTACTTGTTACGTACGTATCACATATCACGTTTCATATGGAAATTTATTCTATCACTTCCTATATTAACATTTCTAGCGATTAATTTTTTTTGAATAAAAAGAAGAAGAAAAGAAATGTTTTATATAATTCTTTATTATTTTATAATTTTTTTGAAGATTTTTGTTTTTCTTTTTTTTCATTCATCATAATTATTATTTAAATATTTTGCTAAATATTTAATAATTGAAAAATGATTAAAATTAATTTAAAATTATTAATAGGGCGATAGTGGTAGTGGTATGGAACAAATTAACGATGATGGAATAGCAACGGTAGTTGGCATTACATCATATGGTCTAAAAGGATGTCCACCAAATGAACTTGCTCGATTCACACGAGTTGATCGTTACCTTGATGATATATGTGAAATAACTGGTGTTTGTTATACCATCCAAAATTTAACATTATTTTAATTATTTAATTAGAGAAAATAAACATGAAAATTGTAAATTTAATCTTTTTTATATGATTCATTTTTTTTCTGCATCATTTCATTATAATTTATTTATTTAAATAATTCATTTTGAAAGATCAAGTAAACAATGCATAATTTTGTGGGAAAAATAATTTAGCAACTAATTGATATGGTATGAAATTTAGGATAAACTTCAATTTCATATTTTTGTTCTAAAATTTCTAATTGCATTATATTTGTATGCATATGTAATATTTGTGCATTCAATAGTATTAAATGTTAGAACTGCTTAAACTAATCATTTCAAACTTTTGAAATATTAGAATTTCAGGTTTAAAAAAGTTATAAGTTTTGTATTAAACGCATAGTGAGTAAATAAACAACTATTGATTAATATATAAAAGATGCAATTTTATCCGTGTAACATTTTGAATATTATAACACATCCTAGCTATTATTTATTGATTACATCCATCTAGCTGTTCCATTTATTCATTTATTAATTTATTCATAACATTTATTTATTCGTTTATTTATTTATTCGTTTATTTATTAACGAATAACATTTATTCGTTGCAATGATAAAATCGTCAAATTAAAATTTTCAAATCCATCATAAAGAATTCCCAATGGGATATGGGACAACTCAGAAAGACTAATCGAATAGCTGCACCAAATGTTCCCTTCACAAAGGAACATCTCTTAGCTAAGAATATAACTTTCACATCATCGTTGACACGAGGAGGAATTGAACTCTGCGATAAACTAAGTAACTGCATTAAAGCACACGAACCACTACACTACTATGCTAAACATCATTCCCATCGCAGCAGCTAAATGATTGTTGAAAAAGATTTTTTAATTGTTGAGAAAAGATTATCTGTCATTACTATTTATTATCAATATTTTTGCTGCCATTATCAATTATTATCATTACTTTAGCACAATTATAATTAATTACTTGTTATTGTGATTGCTTTCATAAACAGATTGATGTCTTTAAATAGATATGAGAAATTGAATTAATGATAAGACAGTACAAAAATACTACGATTTAACATTTGAACTTAATGATTGTTCTATTATAAGTTAGTAAAAGCGTTTAATCAAAAAGTCGATAATAAATAAAGGAGAAAGTAATATTCGATATATACAAGTTTATTAAGAGAAGACGGAAAAACGAGAGAGAGAGAGAGAGAGCAAAATTTCACTAACAAAATATGAAATTTTAATGCTCGGATACTTATGTTCTTAAATGTATTTTGTACCTTATTTATTCATAAGCATCTTAAAATGAAGTTAATAAGTAATGCATTCAGCAATTTTGAAAATCATCAATAATAGTATGGCCACTGCTATGTCGCAATTTATATCAATCACTGTCGTATCATTTATCGTCTTGAACAACGATTAATGACAAATTAAATTTTAACTGTAATTAATTAACGATAATTACAAGTCATATTGTAATTGCCAGTGATAATTATTTAACAACTGGTGTAATAAAAAAAAACAATAAGGAGGGATCGTTAATCCTTTGATAAATTGATACTGTACAAAAGTATGCAGTTTTTTTAGATAATTATTTTACTTATTAAAGTTCAAAAGTTAGAAATTACTATCAAATAAGTGATTTGTCAAGTAAAGATACTAAATTTTGAAACAACGCCAGAGTAAATAAAAATTTTCTATTTTAGAAGTTGAAAATTATCTTAGCATATTTTTGTTAATTACACACATTTATCTGACAATAATTTATCTGAAATTTTTTGTAGTATGTGTTGTTAGACAGCGCAGAAAAATGAAAATGCCTTAACATATTTTATTTAGATACCATATTTGAGTGTTAAATTAATCATTCATGAATTCATGAAATTCGAACAAACCAATATTTCAGCTAAAATTATACTCTTTATTCATTTGGTGTATGATTTTTTGTATATCGGACAGGTGAACAATACCGGGCTGTTGTCTTAATTATGAAAGGAATAATTAAAAAGAAAAAATAATTCTTCATAATTTATGTTATATCAGAAGTTCAGTTTCATAACATATGTATGTATAACGTATGCATATTGCGTATAGTAAGTTTATTGATGATTAATATCCCAAATTGTCACGATTCATCCAGGAATAAGGATTTCGTGAAATTACTTGGCCTTTTCTTTTCATCATATATTGCCAGGAATATGGATTCAGAGCTGGCTTCTCTAAAGCGAACGACAAATCATATGGTGATGATCTGGCAGCCTGGAAATAGATAGTTGTTATAAAACTATTAATTAAGCAACAATCAAAGGAAATAAGGGAAAAATAAGTAAATAAATCAATGGAAAAATGGAGTTGTAATTCCTTTTTACATTTCTTTTTTAATTATTATTTTGAGTTCAGGAGAACTTTAATTTGGCACAATCGAATAGTTGTATTCGTTAATCCGGAATGATAATTTGGAACCACTTGTTGAGGCAGTTCCAAATTGTTGAAGATACGATGTGGATGGAGATGGCAACACCGATTTGTTTCAAAGCACCCTGGCACACATTCCGTTTGGATGTTGGGAGTGCTCAGCGAGTATTGCTCTTAGTAAATTAGACAATTAGTGATAATGTAATAATGAGAGTAATGGTATAAAAACAAAGGATCAAAGGTTAATTTGATGAATGAAATTGGTGGCAAGCAATAAACTGATGGAACTGATGATAAATTGAGGATCATTTTCATTAAAATTGTAAATCGGAAAATTAGATGATAATAAATTAAAGATCATTTACATTAGACAAAGTATATTTTATCATAACATTGACAATTTTGAGGCAAATAATTTCTATAGCATAAATTTCAAGAATACAAAGATATCTTAATTATTGAGATATTTTTATATTATGAAGTTATTTCGGATTTTCGACACCATATAATTTTTTGTACAAATTCTTCCCTCAACCTTTTTTTAAAATTTAACTTCATTTTCTATTTTTAACTAGAAATTGAATTTTCTTCAAAAACTTATTAAGATTATTTAGTTATTAAAAAATCATAGTATTGCAATAAAAAATGTTGAACAAATAACAAATGCTTGATTTAAAACTTCTATAATTAGATTTTATTAAACAATATTATATCCATTATTATTTGTTATTTGGTTTTGTTGTTATTTTAATTTGTTTTATTATGTTTTTGTTTGTTTTGTCTCCATTATTTTGTTGTAATGCATTTTCAGAAGTTTGTTTTTTTCAGCTCGAAAAATTATTTATAAAAATAAGTCAAAATGATATGATTAATGAAAAATAGACAAAGTTAATCAAAAATAGATAAAATCGTAAATGTAAAAGTGTTAGGAAATTTTTCGACAGTGTAAAAATTTTTTCGTAAAGTTGAAAAAGAAGAAAACGGAAATTAGGAAATTTGTAGTACAATAAATAATTAAAGCGAAAATAAAATAGAAAACAAAAAAAGTACGATTAAATTTTATAGTATCAAAAGAAATAAACAAATATAGAATTTTGTATGTTGCAATGATCAAAATTACTTTAATCATAAATGTTGCACAAATTTAATTAATATAAAGTAAAGTATATTTTCACATGAAAAAAATAAACAACAAATACGCGGAAATATTTTACCGCGATGTTACGGGAAGAATATTCATTGGATATGATATGGCACTTTTTTTTTTATTTTTAACCTCCAATGACAAATCTGTGATAACTTTGTAACATTTATAATTTTAATTTATGACATTTTTAGATGTTGACGATTTGCTCGCAGTTTTCAATAAATGAATGAAATTGTTAAATAAGCAAAAGAGCGAATTTCAAAAAATCAGCAAATTAAGTTAATTTAATATTATAGAGATAAATTATTGCTTTTATCATATCAACTTATCATATACTTTTTTTTGCTTTCTTAAAATAGTTTTGACTTGTTAGTTATCAGAAAATATTTGATATATTTCCAAAATAATGCTAATTTCATATTTACTTATTCTTTTTCGTAATATGCAATAATAAATAACTAACTGCATTACTCATCCATGAAAATGAGCTCTTGAAACGTTTGTCGATATCAAAATAATCTTTCGGCATATTCCAATCATTGTCCAGTTCGTTGTTGTATGTTGTAAAATATTTGTTTGGTTTTTCTAATATTAATATTAAATTTTAATAAATGATTGATTTGCTTAATCATTTATTGTTAACCAAATTTTTAACTAACATTCCTTTTATATATAAATATATAACACTCATACTTCGATTATTATTGCCTTATTTTAGTATGATGGATGGATATTCATACATCAAAATAAGAATTATTGTAATTATCAACACATGCATATAACTATGATAAAATATGATTTTTAGATATAATTACAATTGCATTTTAAAGACATTAAATTACTATTTCTCATAATTTATCAATTAAATAATTACTATTTCTCATAATTTATCAATTAAATACTATAATATAATTTTAATCAGTTAATGATATACTTCAATATCTTTTCATATTTTATTCAAAATTTCCACATTCCTTGTTGCACTTGAATACTTTTACTACCAATAATTTTTATATTTTCTTCTTTTATCTCAATAATTCAACTGATTTCATTTTCTAATTTCTTAACAAAGAAATAATCAAAAGTTTTTTGTCTTTTCATTGTCTTACCAGAATAAAATATTACCATTAAAAAAATCATACATATTGGATTAGCTATGATAACATCAATGATTGTACAAGTAATGATATGATTAAATTTTAAAAAGAAAAGAAACTACTTGAAATTACCATATATGTCGTTAGTTGGACTAGCTGCAATGGTAATAATGATTATGGAGAAGATAATGACATGATATCGTAGAATAGGATACCGATTCATTGTAGAATTATCAATATTGGGTTTCATTAAGTACCATTCGATGATTTGAAAGGAATTAAATAATTTTTATCGTAACTGTGCTCGTTTCCGTTTATTCCCAAATGATTATCGCAATCTTATCTTAT